GGAGCACCTCATTCTAACATGTGTTGGCTCTATTTCAGTGGGTATTTGGTGTTTATTTAGCATGTTTTACCTCTGTCCCATGTTGGTTTGTTGACCCTTGGCATGCATCATACACTTGCTTTGTATTCCTCTATTTTGCCTAGAAATGCATCTTGCCTTTGGACCACCATGCTTGCATATTTTGGCTTAGCTTTGTGAAGTTTTTGGTCATGTTTTAACATGCTTAAGGTCTGTCTTGGGTCTTTGGATTCATGTTTTCCATGCTTTGTATAGCTTCTTTGCATTCTAGCTTACTAGCCTTGGGTGTGTAGGTCACTAGTATGCTTTACTTGGCTTGTTCTCATGATTTGGCATCATTGGAGACCACATTTCAGTCCATGTTCCATGCTTGCATACTTGCATTTTCCATCCCTTTCATGCTTTGAAGAGTTGATGGCTTATGCTCCATGTTTAAGGCCTTGTGCATGCATGCTTGTGTGTGTTTTCATGCCTTTGTTGCATCATTTTGGCCACTGTTTTGGACCTAGTAGAGAGCTGTCCAAGTTAGTGTAAGACCATGCATTGCATGTTGATGCATGCTCACCTTGTGTGTTGTGGCACACTTGTGTGTTGTTGCATGTTTAGGTTGCTTAATATGATGCATGCCTTGCACACTTGCATTCTTAGATCACATCTTGTATGCTTGTCACTCCCATTATTATTTCATATCTTGCATGCTTGCTCATTTAGGTTGTGCGCCTAACATGCATTGTGCATTACTTGCTTGCATGCCCATGTTGCATACTTAGTTAACATGCCAAGGTCGCATTGCATGAGCATACATGCCTTGCCTCTTGAATTGAGTATGATAGACGTTGGGTTTCACTTGTTTGTTTGATGTGCATCTCATTTGAAATCAAAGTGCATACTTGGTTTCTTGGGCCATCACGCATTGAAATGCGCGATTGGTGGTCCGAGAATCAAGTACCATGCTCCTTTGAGCCAGAAACATGATAAGGAGTGTGGTTGGTGCAAACATTGCTTGAAATGCATTGTCATGCCATGTTTTGCCCTCTGCTGCTGTCAAAACAGTTTCTGCAGGAAGATTTGGCCGGCCGGCCATCTCCAGTACCGACCGGCCATCCATCAGTGGCCGATGGCTTAACCAGTAGCCGATGATCATTCCCCATGGCCGTCAAGTATCTCTGCGTCCCCTCCCAGAGCTGACGAAGCATCTGATGCCAAGCTAGGCCCAACCTGTGCCTCCTCTTGAGCCAATCCAAGCACTCATCGGACAAAGTGGCAACTGAA